CAGCTGATTCACTAGCGCTCATCTGCCCCAGCCTGGGGGGCTTCCTAGGCAGCTCCTGTCCCATGTGAAGCATTGCTTACGGTGGATTGCAGCCATCAAGCAGAGAGGAAAATTACAAAATGACAGTCCAATCCCAGATGGCCTTTGCACCCAGAGCAGCCGGGGCCAGACTGGAGGCTGTTGGGACTGAAGCTGGGCCCCTGTGCTCGTCTCCATGAGTGGACAGAGCCTATTGTCCTGGCATTTACCATCCCCCCTCCCCATGTGTGCCCACACCCAGCTAGGGGAGCAGAACTGGCCTCAGGCACCAGGGGCCCAAAGCCTCTTCTCTCAGTGCCTCCGTCTGCCCCAATGGCTCTGGCTCCTTTCCGTCCCCAGGAATACATCTCACAGCTCAGAAAAGTCCAGGGCTCCTTTCCCCCCTCAAAGTTTACTCTCCATTTCCCATCAGGGTTCTGCCCATGCTGCTTTCCAGCAAAACTCAGAGTTGGAAGGGGCTTAACTGTCACATCAGTTCTTTTGGGTTCTTGCTGGGAGCTGGACTAAAGCTGGGCCAGCGAGTGTGAGTATCTCCATTCTATAGGTGAGGAGGCAGAGGCTTTCGGAGGGGTTCCATCACTTCCCCAAAGTCACACTGCGGGTAGAAGGTGAACCCCTGAGCCTGTGTCTATACCCACCTGACAGCTCCCAGCACTGTCCTGACAGGTGGCCATCCCTGTCTCGCATGAACCCCCAGTGATGGGGAGCTCACTCCCTGACAAAGCTGCCTTGCTGAGTAGCTGGCTGCAGGGGCCAGAGTGGTTCTGGTCCTGGCCCCGCCCTCTACCAGCACACACTTTAGGGATCTGAGCTGAGCCCTCTTTGACTTCCCGGGTCATTCCCTGGGCCCCACACTGGGCCCTCTCTCCCTCCAGGCAGCCCCTGGCTTTGGAGCAGGTAAATGGCTTGGTTATCTGGTCTGGGCTCCCCAGGGGACTGGGCTGCGGGAAGCCCTCCTCACTCTCACTTGGTTCAGGCTGCTACCCAGGGCGGGGCCAGAGGAAAGCTGGTTGGTCCAAGTGGGCATTGGACCTGGCAAAGCTGAGCAAATGGTCCCCGCCTGGCAGCCCCACTGGGGGAGTCAGCCTTTGGGAATGGGGTCTGCTGTCCCCAATCAAAGCTCCAGCTCTCTGACTGCGCTGATGCCCCACGGCTCTGTCCTGGGGATTTTACCTGTAGCTGCTGCCCAGGCCTGGGGAGGGTGTGGGTACAGCTCCTTGGTGACGGGGAGGGGGACACTGGCTCAGCTCTGCCCCTTTGGTCCCCTCCCCAGAGGCCAGAGCTGGGGATTGGATGCCAGGCGAGCATCTAGGTGATGGACATGACTCTCCCAGTCCTGTTATGACAGAAGACCCCACCCCTCCAGGCCAGGGTCTGGCTCAGGGGTCGCCATCAGGAGGGGGTTTCTGTCTGACGCTGTCCCAGTGTCATGAGCACCTAGGGCTGTTCACTTACCACAGAGGACGTTGCTCCGGCTGGTGGAGAAAAGATACCTCTCCAGCTTGGGTTCACAGCCCAGCTTCTGCAGACGCCCATAGCAGCAGTCGTGGGCATGGCAGCACCTGGAAGCGCCACCAGGGTCTGCTCGGGGGCTCAGAGGAGCGGTCAGCCCCCACTTCCCAGGTGGCCTCAGCTCCCCCTCCTCCCAGGATGTCCCCGGCTCCTCCGTCCCCCAGGCAGGGCCCTGTGGGCCGCCTACTCACCAGTCCGTCTGGTCCACTGGCCAGTGGGAGCCGCCAATGCCACAGTAGCAGCCATAGTCATTGTACTGCAGTGCTGACTTCCCTGTCACCTTCTCAATCATCACCCCAAACTGGACCAGGTTCCCGCCGGCCACGGCCACTGCAGGAGGCAGCCGGGGCCATCAGATCCCGAGAATCCCCTGGGGTCCCCACCAGTCCTAGTCCAGACATCACTCTGGCTGTCCAGTTAACAGCACAGCCCCAACACCTCACTCCCAACACCCATCACGCGAATCAGTAATAATATCTCTGATACCCACTGCACCTGGGTCCCCTTGTCCCCTCCCCTCCCACTGCACCTGACCCCCCCTTGCTCTCCTTCCCCATCTCCCAGGATCACTCCCAACGTTCCCCAGATGTCTCCCAGCAGGTCCTAGTCATCTCCTCAGGTGGCAGCCCTGTGCCCCCAGAAGCACCCTGTTCCCACCAAGTCTCATCGGATGCCACTGCTAGGCTTCCTCACCACCCCACTTCCCCGGATTCCTCCAGACCCTTCCCAAAATGGAAGCTAGGGCGGGGGGTGGAGTGTGGGTGGCAGGAGCCCCTTGTGTGCTGTCTGGGGTCCCTGCCAGCTCCTTTCTCATGCCCCTCCAGGCCACCGACACTGCATCCTGCTCTCTCCAGTGGTCAGTGCTGGCTCAGGCAGAACTGGCCACAGGATGACCCGCCACTCCCTGGAGGCCCCAGGGAGTCTGGGGCTCCCAGCTGGGTCAGGGGAAGGGTAAAGGTCACAAAGGTCACTTACCCAGGAGGCAAAGGATTGTTAGAAGAAGGGGAGGCTTCATCCTGGGGAGGGGAGGTGAGCAGGGGCCGAGGAGCTGGGCTGCAGGAGAGGGAAGTGAGCAGGGGCACTTCTGATCTACGGGCACCTCCTCAATAGTTAAATACCTGGGTCCTGTCCACTCCCCATCATTAACCCCTGAGTGCCCAGTGATGCAACGACTTCCAGGTCTGACACGGTGGCCAGGTGCTGGGGGAGGGGCTACCGGTGGCCTTTGTTTTCAGTGCCCTTCCCTCCACCTCAGTACCCCTTTCCCCAAATCATCTGCCAGCTCCTACTGCTGGAGCGCTGAGCACGGCTGCCCCAGGTTTTTCATTTGTGGTATTTTTTCTCACCCCCATTTCACTGAGGCAGCAACTGAGGCCCAGAGAGACTGAGAAACTTAAGTTCACGTGGCCTAGGAGTGCCAAGTCTGTCCGCTTCCCTGCCCTGGCTACTCCAGCCTGCCCTCTGCTCCCACCCCTTCCCTCGCCCCCACCCGGGGCAGCTTGACCACTGGCAGGACACCAGGGGCCTGGGAGGCCCTTTGTCCAAGAACCTACAGGCTGAAGGCTGGGAGCTCAGGCAGCTGAGCTTAGGGGTTTTTCTTTATTGTTCTTTACTGGGAAGGCTCCTGCTCGTTTGACAAGCAGTGAAAATGCTCCCAGATGTCAGTTCTGTCTCCCTAAATTCTCCAACAGTGGGGTAGTGGGGCTGCTGGGGAAATGGGCTCTGAGTCAGCTGGAACACCCGCATTCCAGCTTCCTGATGTCACCTTAGGGGCTGGGTTGGGGAGATAGTAGCCCCCGGGCCCCGCTTGCCCCCAGGGACAGCTGCTGTCCCCATGATCAGAGGAATGGAGGAGAGGTTGTCTCTGTCATGGTCAGAAACTTCAAAGTCCCAATGGCCATGGACTCGAGGTGACTCATTTGCTGACAGCTGCCCTCTCCCTGGAGTCCACTGAGGCAGATGGAGACAAGCCGCCCGGGCCTGGCCGCGTCTTCCTCTGGCCCTGCCCTCCCTCTTCCTGGTCCGGGACTGGGATAACTTGACCAACCACTTCCACCAACATCCGTCGGGCCTGGAGCTGCTTCACCTGTGGATCTTGGAGTCCTGATTCCTCCGCTCATTACGTGGCCCTGGGCAGTTCCTTCCCCTGGCTCAGAACCTGCGTTTTCCTATGATGAGGAGAGAAGTTATCCCACCCTTGCCTCCTTCACGCAAAGTTCAAATGCGGCTAAAGCGAGGAGCCTGCACGGAGTACTTACTCTGCGCTGGGACTGTGCCAAGCCCCCCTCAAGTGGGATCTCAAGGAGCCCTCAAACGGCCCCACGAGGTGAGTGCTACCATCAGCCCCTCTTTACAGAGAGGCAAACTGAGGCACATGCCTAAGTCCATGGTGAGCCAGAAATCTGGCCCGGGCAGGCCAAAGGGCTTAACTAACTGCCGACAGTAGGCACAGTGTCCAGTGCCCATGATACCTCTAGGTGCCTCAAGTTTAAAAAAAAAAAAAAAAGTTTTTATTGATTTCAGAGAGAGAGGAAGGGAGAGGGGGAGAGAGAGAAACATCAATGATGTGAGAGTCATTGATCGCTGCCTCCCGCACGCCCCCGCTGGGGATCCAGCCTGCAACCGGGCATGTGCCCTGACCGGGCATCGAACCGTCACCTCCTGGTGCGTGGGTCGACGTTCAACCACAGCCATATGGGCTGTGCTCAGTATGTTTTAATTTCCTTAAAATCAGAGGAAGAATGGCTATAATCCAGTCTGGGTTATATTTGTCTCCATACCAATGAGATCCTAACAGTTGCTTTTTCCTTTTTATTTTTTTATGTAGGAGAAGGCCCATGAAAGCAGAAGTGCCCAGGGCCCAGGACAGGAGTCATGCTGCAGCCCTGAGCTTACCCACAGGCCTCGGAGCGTCCCTTTCAGGAGCTGACTTGGGACCTGGCCTTGGCCTCCTTTCCAGAGGAGAGGCCGGTTTCGCACTGCAGACGGGAAGGAGTCCCAACCCAGGTTCCCTCTCGCCACCCCGTCAGGGATAGAGTCCCTGGGGAGGTGTCGTCTTGCCTCAGAGAGAGACAGGAAAGCTGGTGGCAGGGACCCCTGGCAGTGATTTGGAATTAAAGGTTTCTGACACCATTAGGCAGTGGCCCTGCCTCCTGCCCCTCCCATTTCTTGCTAATAACTCCTGGCAATCTTCATGCTGGGCTCTCACCCACTTAGAGCGGACTTGGGGGAAGAGGGGCAGAGGGGTGAGTCCACCTGGCCAGGAGCCCCCAGGGAAGGGGCTCCTCTGTGCTCACCATTGCCTTTTGATTTTAATGAGGGCACCTCTTGGCAGCCCCTGGCTCCTGGCCTGGGTCACAAGAGCCCAAACGGTGACTCACCGAGGAGCTATCTCCTAAACAGCTGAGAATTAGCTTTGACTCCTGGGCAGGTTTGGCCCGAAGCCCTTCCTGTAGCATCAGGGTGTTTCCCGGTGAGGGCAGAGTTTCTGAGACAATCCCTTTGTGAGCCATTTTGGATCCTGGCCTGGCCAGGATGGGGCCCCTGCCAGCTCCTGCCAGTGTGTACCTGTGACAGAAAACCGAGGACTGTCAGGCCAGAGCCAGGCAGGAAAATCCAGGCAGAGAAATCCAGGTGGGCTTCCAGGAGGATGTGTCTCCAGCTGATGTTTGAAGTGCGGGCATTGGGAGGACTTGGACTTAGAAGAGAGTTTCAGGCATTTGGGAAATGTGGTTCGTTTTACGGTTTTCTCACCAGTGGCACAATGTGGTTGAATAATCTGCATGAGCCAGAAGAAGACTTGAGTGTTAGCTCTGCCGCCTAGCAGCTGTGTGACCTTGGCCACTCTGGTTACCTCTCTGAGGCCAGCTTCATCATCCATACTATATGGATAATTAGATCTACCTTTCAGAGTTTTGGACTGGATGGAAAGGAAATGAAGTGTGTAAATGCCTTTGCAAGATGCCATGCCCACGGGAGGAGCCCAGGAATATTGGGTCCCTCCCTCCCTCCTTACCTGGCCACAGAGGCGGCAGCTGCTGTCCCAGGAGCTCAAAGTCCCCACGCAGCTGGGCCAGGGCCCCCAGCATTTCAGTGGGATTACTGTCCCTACTTGGCAGGTCTTAAATTCCACAAGATCCCTTTAGCAGGGATCTCGGTTGGGGTGGAGGTGAGTGGAGGGAACAGAGCCCTCTTTCTGCTCTTGGTGTAAAGTTATCCCTTGTAGTTTAGAAGCCATCGTCGTCGTCGTCATCATCATCATCATCACCATCGTCATCTTAACAATAAAAATGGCAAAAATTACCCCTTACTAAGCTCCTAGTGTGCCAGGCACCGGGCTGGGGCTCTTCATCTGCCCGATCTCATTGCTTCTGTTGTTTCCCCGAAGAATCCTACAGACTCCCAGCCAAGTGCAATAACCTGAAGGATTCTTGGCCTGTTTGGTCACTATCCTATATTGAGGACTTACTATGTGCTGGGGATACACAGGAGAGCAAAACTGGTATGATTCCTGCCCCCGTGGGGCTGGCGGGCCAGTAGGGAGACAGACATTAGTAATTACCTACTGAATGAGACAAGTAGAGGCAAGTAGGTTGACAGGATGTTCTAAGGGGTCATGAGAACATGTAACCGGGGCACCTGACCTGGGCGGGGACTGAGTGAGGGCTTCTCTGTGGGAGAAATGATTTAGCAGGGGTCTCAAGAAGTTAACTGGGCGAAGGTAGAAGTGGAGAGAGTTTAAATAAAGGAACAGCCTGTGCAAAGACCCTGTGGTCCAAAGGAACATAGCACTCAGGAGGGGCTGAAAGGATGCTGGGTAGCTGGGCTGGTGAAGGATGTGATTCATCAGGAGCCTGCTCCGGGGACCTTGACCTTCCACTGACCCCACAGAAAGCCTTTTGCTTGAGCCTGATGGGCAGGCGGCCTGGAGCTTGCAGCATGCTGGAGAGGGCCTGGGAGTCCCCCATGAGAAGGAGGCAGCTCTCTGAAGGACCCCGTGATATTTTCATCCCAGCGGGCAGCCCCTGTGGGCACCCGGAGGCCAGGGAGGCTGGTCCCTTCCGCAGGACCATGCTTTGTACACTTGTCATCACAGTTGGGTTCTCCATTTGTGATGGAGAGTAAAGAACAAGCATCCTCGATGTGGGCCTGTTGTCGTCTTTCATTCGGTGGCCAATGTCCTTGTAAAATGATATGGCCGCGCCTTGTTGGTTTTTGTCTAGGGCACAGTGGAACCCGAGTGAGCGTTCACACCCCTGCTGGGCAAGATGCTTCTGGCTGCGGAGGTGACAATGAACTGGAGGGACACAGCCAGGAGGAGAATGCCAGGGAGCAGGGGAGAGCACACGCCAGGAGGGCCCGGGCCCCACGCATCAGGGGACAGGGCAGGGCTGTGCTGGGATGCACTTGGTGGGTGGCGGAGCCCGAGGAGGGGTGCGAGTGCCTCGGGCCCCACCCCTTCACTGAGCCTTCGTGGGTGCAGTGGTCACGGGGGGGAGAGGAAACAGGGACCCTCATCCCACAGATGACTCAGTGCTGACCCGGGGGGCAGCGAGGCCAGCACGAGCCCAGGCAGGTGCCCCGTGCGGAAGGAGGCCTGTGTGCTTTGCTGGGGTGCCCGTGTCTGTAAGTGCCTGTGTGGGGGCGACAAGGGTAGGGCCCGCCCACTGTGAGGGGCCCCTCTACTCCCAGGGCCACGGTGTCCTGGCTGAGACGAAGCTATGGGCTGGGGGCTGCCTGGCCTTACCACCAGCTAACTGGGTACTTAGGCAAAGGACCTCACTTTCCACGGTCTCTGTTTTCTCATCTGTACAATGGGACAGATAAGAACAGCATCTGTCTTGTCACATTGCTGGGAAAGTTAAGAAAACAATACTTGGGACCTGCACTTTGACAGTCATGACTGTTATTGGTGCTGTTAGTAGCAGTATTACTTGTTAGCACAGATTTGGGGGCCTCTCTACAAAGCCCCTTCCGGCCTGGAGCCCCCCTCTTTTCTGGAGGCCTCAAGAAACT